GACCCGTCCGGCTGTTGTCAAAAAAGAGGGCCACTAACCCGCCGAGAATCGGACGATTCTCGGCGGGTTTTCAAGCCTGCTTGTTCGACGGAAGACGTGCGACCGTACAGTAGAAACGGTTGCACGCCTTCCATACACTGTACGATTCTCGTACGATCGCGGGATTTCCCGCAATTCTCGTACGAGAATCGTACAGTGTATGGGCACCTTTTAGACTTTTTAATCTGATCCAAGAGCTCCATCTACGCACTTGAAATGTAATATTTAATTTTTGTCTACCAGGTTGTGCTCATAAGTGTGTGTGGAGTTTGATGGTGGATTACATCCTGACTGAAGATCTTGTATGGTGTTCTGTAAGTAAACAGACAGCTGTGGCATGTTCAGGTCTGGTTGTTGTGCTGGACGCTGTGTTCACAAAGCCTCTGAACCTACAAGTTGCTCAGTTTTGCTCTAACACGTCCTTTTTGGAGGATCTCCTGCAGGAGTGGTGAACAGGCTCAGGTTTTCCTACCAGCTGGCTCCTCCATTCCCAGGAAATAGCCCAATCCTGATCTCTTTCCTACTGGTTGGCAGATTCGGTTTGTTAAACATCTGGAGGATAATGGCGTTTCCGAACCTTGCCTATAAATAAATAATACTGTTCTGCTTTGCATACAATATTACTTGTAAAGCATTTTACAAGTCCATTATAAATGGCATTACTTTTTTTCCTCAGCCAAACACTGGAGACCTGGATCCTATCTATGTGGTGGAAGTTTTGCTAAACTGCAGTAAAGAAAGTCTTAAAAATGCTGCGACGGAGGCCGCAAAGCCAGCAATGCCGGATGAAAAAGGAGAGATGCAGGTTTGTGTTTTATGGAATACAGACTAAGATTCATCACGTCTTTAAACACATATTGGAATGCTGCACATTGTACAATTGCCCTCTTTGTTATCTGAGTGATTTGCATGCTACATGTCCATTGTCAGCCTGCACCAGCAGAAACGTAGGTCTATATTAAAAATGTTAAAAGAAAAAAAATTAAACAAAACACAGGATTTTAAAGCATATCGAAACCCAAAAGAAAAATGTAACCTATGGCAGCTTACCAGTCTTTAGACTTAGTGGCTGAATTCGATATTTATTTCCCCCCCCCACACTTTGTTACCTTTTTACCTGTTTGTTCCCTTTTTTGTTACTTTGCAGAATTGCCATGTAAAAATACACTTCCTGCCTTTTTATGTCTGCTTTTCGTTTCCCTCCACTGGGTCTATGGGGGTAGCCATGGTTGTCACAGAGGCTGGATTCCAAACTTTTCTACCTTTTTCTTTTTTCATCTCTATTGCATGTTTGATGGGACTAGTAGATTATAGTATAGATTTTTTTTTTTTTCACTTGTCAGTCCTCTGGACAGTGAGACCAGACACTGTTTCCAAGGACAATCTCTATACTGAACCACAGTAATTGTACCATGTACGTTTACATATGGACAGATGCGGCCACTGTCACCCTGTCATTAACTTGAAGGGCCACATCGGCTGCATCTGTACGGGCACACCTGGATTTCTTGCATCAAGAATACGTAGGTTCTTGTCCCAGGACTCCCCAGCCGCATGCCTAAAGCCTTGTGAAAATGGGGCCTTAAGGTGCCCACACACCTTGCGATAATTGTACGATAATTGCGGGAAATCCCGCGATCGTACGATTATCGCAAGGTGTGTGGAAGGCGTGCGACCATTTCTACTGTACGGTCGCACGACTTTTGTCTAACGAGCATGTTCGAAAACCAGCCGAGAATTGTACGATTTTCCGCTGGTTTGTAGCATGATCGTGAGATAACTGCCGCACGGTCCGGTGTGCGCAAGCACACACTGCCCGTTCAGCATTGCAGTCATCGGAAGCCCGCCCCTCAGCGTTCAGGCTTGCGATTATCGCAAGTACGATCTGCCTGTCCAAGATGGGCAGATTGCACGTTTTTTTAATTACCTTACAACCACCGCAAGACAAAAGTCGTGCGATGGTCATAAGGTGTGTGGCCAGCATTGGACAGTGGAAGAGGCTGAAGTCAACTAATCTCTGTCTACCAAGTATTTTCACTGTAAGCCATTTGCTATCTGCTGGCATGACAGGGCGTATAGTTGAAACAATTACTCCATTTCTTCAGAGATCAGACAGCACTACCAAGGGCAAAGTGTTTGGTTTTAATTTTGTTTACCCAAATACCTTGCTATAGTTGACTGGTGGACAACTTGAAGGACCAATTTAGTTTTATACTATGATTCTTTTGTACAACCCCCATTACCTCTGAAGTAAACTGTACTAATATCCCCCCATCCAGCTTCTTTTTTCCCCCTGTGCAAAGTTTCATTCTCCATTAGAAATCCTATTCAGTACTGACGATGTCTGCGCTCTAAGCCCTTATAGACTACAGGGTCTTCCCGGGAAGCACCTCCAGCATACAGGAAGGCCCCATAGAAGTTTAGGAGGGATCAATGCCCAGATGTTTCTTGGCCTTAAAGCAAAAGTAAGGTTGGAAAATAAGAAAAAGTTGATCGGTAGGTTTTCTATGACTGAAGAGACTGTGTAAGTCTCTTCTGCCATGAAGGCTTCTTTCTCCTATTCAGTATTTTTTTTCTTTCTGTATGCCAAGCCACTCATGTGCAGCTCATCACACAGACCCGATATGGCCGTCCAACTAGCACCATATGGCTAAAAGCTCTAGGGGTGGGCTTTTTTTTTG